ATATAAAAAATATTTAAGTTTTTAACTATCATTTTAAATTAAAAATTTTTTAGTTAGTAAATATTCAAATTCTCCACTGAATCTCCTACCAGGAGAAGGCGAGTTCAGGGTTCTGCTCGACAGAGATGAATACCCATGATTAAGCACCTTAGGCTCCTTTCTGAAGCTCTTCTGACGAGGTAGAGCAATTGGGGAACTCGACCTCCCTCTCTTGTGTGGGCTAAAACCCTTCTCTTTTTTCGGGACAGCCACTGGTTTAGATGGAGATTCTAACTTCTGAGCATGAGGTTTCCTTGAAACTAATGCAAGAGCAGCTTCCTTGATTGAATTGATGCGGATTATATGCGGGTTTTCCTTGACACTTGCCCACAAGAACTCATTGGAAAAGAACCTGTCTTTGGAGCTCAAGACGAGGATGAGCATGAACTAACAGAGGTACTAGTACTACTAGCAATGCTGGTGTAGGAAGGAGCAGATGCAGAGGAGAAGCAAGAAGAAGTGGTAGTAGTGGGGGAAAGAGGAAAGGGGGAAACTTTGTTTGAGATGGGAAGGGGATTTTCTGGGGTTTACTAGAAATTTTCTCGGAACTCAGTAGTATGTACATTGCAATCCAATAGACAAGTCATAAGTTCAAAACTTGATTAACCCAACCTCAAAGCAAGTTTATACTCATTTCATTTTAGAATAATAAATGTTTTTTATTTTATTTTTAAATTAAGGATTTGAAAGTAATTTTAATTCTTTATCTATTTTACTTTTAAAAAATAAATAAAAATAAAAAGTTATTTTTTAAAAATAATAAATTATTTTAATATAAATAATTCAAATTAAAGGATAATTATAAGGTTGAAATAAAAAATATATATAGTATTTATCTTTTTTAAAATAAAAAATAATTATTATTTTAGAATAAATTTTAAATTAAAAAATTTATATTATTCTGGGAGGAATATGGTATAATTTCAAATTTTGTTATGTATAAACCCTGCAACAAGACTATTCTTGTACCATTTGGGGGTGACGTCGCTTTGGGTATCAAGTTTGAAGCCGAGTGCCCAAATTGTTAAGTACCCCAAAAGTTGAGTAACTCCTGCTCTCATTTATCCAATTATTTAGATATAGGTTTTTCTCTGCTGTGCCTGGGTGAGCTAAGGAACTTTTTTAATTGATCAAGGAGAAAATCAATATCTGACCTTGACTTTATGGACCAATACCACCTATGCAATTGTAATTCATCAATAAAATAAAAAAAATCAAGATCTGACTTTTATATTTTTAACACAAAATTAATGTTAAAAATGAGCAACATTTTCTAATACGGTACTCTTTTTCTAATACTGTCCATATAAATTAAGATTAGGTGACATTTCACAACATTTTTGTGATGTAATTATAATAACTTATTTCCCATTTTCTAAAAAAAAAAATATAATAACCTTATTCTAAATATATGATCAATTTTAATTTTTACCACTAATCACCCACCACACAAGGTAGTTCCCAAAAAAACATCACCAGCACGAGCGGAATAAATGCTAATGTGACAAGATTAAAACTCTTAAGACGTCACCAATCACAGGCGGAATAAATGTTAATGTGACAAGATTAAAACACTTAAGCTTAGAGTACGTTAGGAATTGGGCTAGGATGTTTTTTTTTTTTTTTTAGTTGTAGTCTTACTTTCCATTTTAATAGGGTATTAAATGTTAATATTTCAATTTTGTCCTTATCTTCAAAAGAGATACAAATGCATTAGAATTTTTTCATTTAGTCCCAAGGGTGAAAATAAAAAGATAAATTTTAATTAATTTTTATTTTTTATACATTTACTATCTAAAATTATATTTAGAAATTAAAATTTATTATAAAAATTTAAATTTATTAAATTTAATTTAAGTATAATATTAATTATTAAATATATAAAAAAGTAAAAACTAAAATCCCAAATTAAAAACCATACTAAATCGTAACCTTTTAGAGGTAGACATGTGTATGGTTAGAAGTCAGTTTTCTTGTCCAGGTCAGTCTCCCGCGCTTTTCTTCAACGTGTGAAGTTTTCAACCATCCTGTTTGACTGTTCAAAGGATGACTCCTCAAAAGTCTTTGCCCGCCCTTTTATACAAAGTCCAGTTATCTTCCTCTACAAAACTGAAATGTATCTGTGGGAACGAAGTTTCCAACTATCGTTTTCCAATGCAATAAGAATATTGTACTTTGGGCTTATATTGTTGTACATAGTTCTTGTATAAAAGGTACCCTACATCTTGGTATTTTCAGCAATATACAGAATTCTCTTTATCTGTTTCTCTGTTTCTCCTTGTTCATCTCTTTCTTCTTCTCTCTCCCTTCTGATTCTCCTACTGTTCTCTACTTCTTACTTTTCTTACTTCTTTGGTGTCTGATTTTGGGTGATGAATTCTGAAGTTGATTAGTCCGATCCAGAGTTCTACTTCAACAGGTTCAATTCTTTCCCTTTCTCTTAATTCGTCTCGCTTTCTTTTGCTTTTTGATTTCTTTCTTCTTGCCAATTGGATTTCACTCGCCATGGTTTGTTGAATTCAATTGTGAATTTGGTGTGCTTCCCTTTTAAATGGTTAAAAGTGAGAAAATATTCAGATAATTATATAAATTTTGTTTTTTTTTATTTGAGAATATAATTTTTTGAAATTTTAAATCAGATAAGAAATTTTTATTTTTTATTTAAAAATA